AAGACGTAAGGAATCGCATCGTAAAAGATATCGTTTCATCTGAAATATACTCAGTCATGGCCGACACGTCTCCTGACACTTCAAATGCGGTCCGCCTCGTAGTGGCAGTGCGCTACGTTGACGAAAACAACTTGCCCAACGAGAGAATACTGGAGATGAAAGAAACAAGGAATAAAACAGGTGAAGGCCAAGCAAAAGAGATTCTTGATTCCCTTAAATCACGATTACCTATTTGTCACAATGGGTTAGTGTATCAGTCTTACGACTACACAGCTTCAATGTCTGGGACTTTTAATGGAGTTCAACAACATTTGCAGGAAATGGTTGGACGCAACATTCCATACATCCCATGTCAAGGCCCTAGGTATGTGTCAAATGCACAGCATTAAACATTGCCGTATAAATTACTTAGGCATTAACTATATCTTTTTAAATATTTTTAAGACTAGTCTCTGCGTTGAATAATTTTTCAATTATATGTTTTTAGATCAAACACTTTCAATGAGCATTGCTCAAAGGCCTCTACATTTGTTGAGATGTATAGCTTGCTCGAAGAGCTGTATGTTTTTCAGCAGAAGTTGTAAACGAGATTCTATGTTGCAAGAACATATGGAAAAAATTGAAAATGCTCTTAAATTGCGCAATCTCTCAAAGACGAGATGGGTGTATAGAAGTGAATCAATTGAAGCGGTATGGAGATCTTTTGAAGCCATACGAAATGCCTTAGCGGAAATAGCAAAAATTGACAACAACTCATTAACCAGAACCAAAGCAACCTCGCTCTGTAAGAAAATGGTGAAATTTGAGTTTGCTTTTGCAGTTATGTTTATGAGGTTTATCATGAGAAAGACCAAGATCCTGACAGTACAGATGCAGAAGCCAGAGCTCAATATCCTTGATGGTCTTCAACTGATTGATGAAACTGTTAGATCACTGGAAAGAATACGGCACAATGAATCGGAATTGAATGACCAAATAGATGCAGTGTTGAGTTTGCGAAGACTCTAGGCTCTAATCCCGAGGAAGAGTTTGCTAGAAAGAGCAATAAAAGATCAAGTAGACGTTTGGATGACAACCCTGAGACTTTGGCAATTATGTCACTAAAAACTAACTATCGAAAATGCATTATTGGGGTCCTTGATTCCTTAATCAGAGAATATAGAGATAACATAAAAAGTTGTTTGCAAAAAATAAAACCCTTAGCTGTTATCCTTCAGCCTCGACTGACTAAACCAAATTTTGAACAAGTTGAAAAGGTCACCGAACTTTTTCCTCCATCAATTAGCGTAGATTGTATGTCACTGTATGCAGAACTTGAGATTTTTGTTAACTTTGTAAATGAGACAGAGAAAGAATGTAAGACAGTCCACGACGCCGGAAACACTGCTTTCAAAAATAAAGAAATTTTCCCAAACGTTTATAAATGTTACAAACTTCTTTTTACTGCTCCAGTAAGTGTGGCTGATATTGAAAGATCATTCAGCAAAATGAAAATTGTCAAGAACTATTTGCGCTCAACAATGAAAGGTGAAAGGATGGAAGAACTCATTGTCCTCTCAAGCGAGAAGGATTTAACAGAAACAATTCATCTGGATGTAGTACTAAAATCTTGGGCAGCCAGAAAAAACCGTAAACTCAGATTAAAATTCAAGTAAAAAGCAACATCTCAAGACTACGTTGAGATGATCCTCACTTAAGACTCTTGATATGAGAACAAATATACATTGTTTTACTGTTATGTCCGAAACGGTTAAGGTTTATATTTGAAAAACAGGTTTTGTAATAATGTATGTGTTAGAAACCTAATCTTCAATAATGTTTACTAATAAACAACGTATGCAATAATAGAAATGATTATAATTTGCTAGCCATAATGATTTAAGGGGTTTTTGTGGGCAACGCCCTTTTGCAGGGCAAATTTTCTCCACACCCCCCCCCCATTACTTCAAGTCTAGTTACGCCCCTGGTCGTGAATTATACTCTCTCGTGCGCACATGCATTCACGGTACGCTGGGGAATCAAATAATAATATCATATTTAATATCCATATTTTTAAATATTAGTCAATAACTTCCAATATTCAATACATATTTGCATAAACCTTATAGGCAGTACAAAATGAAAATGGTTGTGATTCTCGCTTCATAATTTTCCGCCTCCTTCTGCTCGCCATCTTTCATATGCAATTCATGGAGCAGCTCATACGTTTCTACAAGCCATGGATGATCTTTTGAAAATAACATTTCTATCATACCGAAACCTTTAAAAGGTTTTTCTTTGCTTTTCGAAAGTTGTCCTCGGTGTAACTGGCAGTCTTCCTGTAAAGTTTGACAGCTTTGTCATACTTTCCTAGTTGCTGCTCGTACCATGCTTTGTAGGCTAGGACGCGTGCAAATTTCTCCTTCTCTTTGATTTCTTTCTTGAGTATTTTATTCAAACACTTTTTTGCATCAGTATATCGACATGTTTCCAGGTAACAGTCTGTTATCTAAACGAAATATTTAAAAAATATGATGTCACACTTTGCGCTACATTGATTGCGAGCAAGTTCTCGCACGTTGTGTTCAAGTAAATTAATTGCCGATTGAAAATCTTCCAGGTTTTTCGTGCATTTTGCGATGTTTATAAGAAGACATTTTCAACAAGGTGAAATCACTGGCAACTTTCTTTTGCAGACGGCTGCTTGTTTGGTACGAAACGATTGTCGATTCATATTCTTTCCTGCTTTGATAGGCAAGTCCAGAAGCTTTAGCAAGTTCTGCTGAAATGATCAACGTGGTTTTTCTGATCAACTTTTCTCTTCTCAATAGACGTACGGACAACAACCATTGCAGAGGCGACAGCATCGACGAAATACATGTCGTTCTCAATCTTTTCTTCTTCCATGTCATTTAACATCTCTTGTGCATCGATTTCATCATGTTTGAATGTTTTCAATCTCTCGCCACGTTGCAGCATTCTTTGAAACAAAGTTTTACTTTCTCTGTTTTGCTTTACAACATCGTTAAAAACTGCATGTCCATCGGTGGATGCATTAACAAAATAATATAACAAACTCAAAAGACCACCATTTGAAGAAATTTCAGATTTGGAAAACGAGGATTGTGCAATGGATAAAATTGAAACTATTTTTACGTGTTCACCATCTTTTCCAAAAAGTTCCTTTGCTCGAAGTATTGCTTGTTTCAAAAGACAATTTCCTCGAATACCACCGTCGACCAATTCATTGCCAATTTTACTGGAATGTTAAAGTATATTAGAGGTAGCGAGCAAGACGTCGCAAACCTTGTAATGTCTGTAGTCTTGGCTTGCCGTTTCGAGCAGCACGAGATCTTCGTTTCTGCCGAGCCTTCTGGCAACAGCTCCTGCAACATTTTTCAAAAGACTCTGTCCGTTTAAATCACTTATGCTGCATTCACCAAACTGATCCTTTAGGGCTTTCTTAACGTTATCTTGTGAATATGATACAAGTGGGATGTTGGACAACCATAATATGTGAGACTCTAAACAGTGGCAACATGATTTTTTCAATATATCTCTAGTCCTCTTGAGATACATCTGAATGCATTCGCTCACAGACATCGATCGCCTTTTATGATGGTCGTTTCCAACTTTTTTTCCACCAACCAAACCAAACGCGATCAGAACTACTGTTTGGGACCAACTATCATGTCGTAAACATGGGTGGGATGAATGAGATTCTGAACTTTATCCAAATCTTTGATCAAACGTTGTCGAACGGTTCGATCTTCTAAGAAAAGTAAGAGGCTTTCATCATTTTTTTCTTCTACAAGGTTGTTCATTGTCTCGTCGAAAATCTTCACTTCCATTACACCTCGACTTCCTCCACCATCGAAAGACAATATGTCTGTTGAATCCATCTTGACGTTTAAATCGTGTATAAAAAAGTTATACTAAGCAATTATTGGATGAGGTTGAGCATTGTATTAAGAATCATTCAGACCGATGTCATTGTTATCTGCGGAAGCGAAGCGAGGCGGATAACATTGACCGAGGTCTGAATAATTCTTGATATCATGCGAAACACGAATTCAATAATTGTTTTATTATTCACTGAAGTATTATCAAAACATATCAATTTAAAACATTTTTCAAACCTTCGCTAATTTGTTTTTGTCAGACGGTTTATTCAAGTTCGTCTCGTTTATATATGTTGTAAATGTGTTCAAAGCCAGCTTCGCCGCTTTTTTAGTGTTTTCCGCATCCTTTTCCTTTAAAAGCTTTCACATCGTTTTTAGAAACTGTGGCAATAATCGCTGTTGTTTGATTTGTTATCAAAACCGGCTTTTAATGGCGGCCATATTTGTAGAAACTATTATCTGTAGGTTATGGACGTCATAACCTACAGATATCAAGAATTATCTGCAGGTAGTTGACCAATCACGGCCGAGAATGCTCACATAGTGAATAATAATAATAATTATACGTAAGTTGTATCTTTTTGTGAGCTTTGCCATTCTCACCCTTCCCAAACGAGAAAGTTTTTCTGTCTATACTTTTTTTGTCTTGTTTCGTGACGTTTCCTGTCCACTTCTATGCTTTCAAGTGATTTTAACTATTTCCTATTGGTTGCGCGAGGAAAAAGTTGAGAGAATGAAAAAACTTCTTTGAACTCCATTTGTAACGAAAGACTTTAAATGAAGTTGGTGGTACGCTCTCTGTCATCTGTGCGCGAGTAAAAATTACAATATCTATATAATCAGTAATAGGATGCTATCAGGATGTTCTCTTCTACAAGAGATGTCTCAAATTATAGTTTATTTTTTCTTTAAACATATTTGCTACTTCAATGGGCCGCATTATTTCTCCTATTTCTTAGTTTGATACTTGGCCGTTGACCGTTTGATACTTGGCCATCGACCGTATTAATGGCTGGCTGTATTTTAGCGGGTATAACTTTAATATAAAATACATTAGTGTTTCGCCGTAACAAAAAGTGACCGTATGATCGTGTCACTGAGATGACCATAAGGCGGAGCTCCACAATTATGTATGCTTTAATGCATATTATAAAATAACAACAATCTAACGAGATATACTATACGTAACGAACAAAGGACTTGAGCTTCGACTCTAACTAGGACTCGTTCTTAGACTCATGCTTGGATTCAAGCCTGGACTAAAAAGTAAAAGTAGGCACGCTTTGCGTACATGTGAATAGCTTTTCAAGTGTTTGGTCAATGCAAATGATAAACCAGATATCATGGTGCTAGACATGTTATACAATTTCAACACTATTAACATCAAACTTTAAAGTATGTTGTGGATTTCTAAAAATATGCTTTGTGGTCACTGCCAGTGAATCCTTTTTGCATTTGCCGACTGCCCTTGCTTGGATTTTTTGTCACGCGACTATCACATTATCCTTGTTGGCAATGCAGAGAAATTTGTGATTTAAAACGAAATGGAAATTTAATTAGTTGAATGCAGCTACTCGTGAACGAAACAATCCTTCACACAAATATTCAACTTTTAATTTATATTGCATTCCCTACATCTCCAACTTTATGAAAGATACCACCTCATCCAAATTATGCGGATTTTCTTTCATTTTTTTACTGCTTTCTTGATCTTTTACGTCGCTTGTCCTTTGTCTCTTCTGACTTGTTTTTGTCTCTAGGACAAAGGGTGGATCTAAGATAGATTAAAATAAATGACAGAAGATCGTTGAAAAATATTTCTATGACAATTAATGCTGTTGGTAAGAAATTTCTAAAGACTATGTAAGGCTAAAGTACTCTCAATATAAAATTAGCTCTAAACTATTTATAATCGGAACTGTATTTTTAGTAATGTATTCTAACCTTCTCCAGATCCGCTACTGTCTTCGACCCTTTTTCTTTATCCATTTCGTAGTGACTTTGGCCATTTTCTTCATTTCGCTTTCGATACTCTTTATTTTCATTTTATAGTTTTCAGCCTCCCTCTGTTTGCCGATTTCCACCTTATACAATTCGTAAAGCAGCTGATAAATGTCGATCAGCCATGGGTGATTTTCCGAAAACAAATTTTCGATTATATCCGAAGCCTCTAAGAGGTATTTCTTTGCTTCTTTATATTCGGTTTTAAAAAGGCACCCACCAAGAACTGACAAGGTATTGGCGATTTCAAGACAGTTATAATGCAGGACTTTTTTCTTCATCTGTTCCAAAGCTTCTTGTGCACGACTCAAGGTGACTTGGGGTGATTGCTGTGAGGACGGGCAGCTTGCCAGATTCGTCAATACCATAGCAAATTTAAGTTCATCAGTGATTTTTTGCTTTTCGTATATGGCTTTTGCTTTGATTACATTTTCATATGCGTCGTCGTATTCTTCCATTTTCATCAAGAATGATCCGAAATAGTTGAGAGACTCGGCGACCTGAGGATCGCTTGCTTGTTTCAACTTTTTTCTTACATCTTTCGCTTGCCTTATTAAATATTTTTCGTTTATCCCAAGTGTTAAGAGACACAGTCCCTGATTACTAAGTATAATTAGCATTTGTGCTTCATCAAGGCTATTGCTGTCTACTGGGCATTTGGATGCCTCCCAGTATAGTTTAAAAGCTTCGTCTAGTTTTCCTTGTTGTTGCTTGAACCATGCTACATAGATAATGACACGTACAAATTTCTTCTTCTCTTTAATGTGTTTTTCGAGTACATCATGCAAATATGTTTCCGCTTCAACATATCGAAGGCAAGTTGTGCAGCATTCTGCTATGCTCAACATGGCATCAACAAGTAGCTTTAAGCAATTTGGGTCATCTTGATGGTGAACAAGGTGCTTCACGTTTGATTTAAATAAGTCAATAGCGATCTCGTAGTTTCCAAGTTCTTTCTGGCATTTTGCGATTTTATAATTAATCTTAATCACACTCAAATTATTGCCGAGTTTCTCGTGCAGACTTCTGCTTGTCTCGTAAGAAACATTTGCCCAGTTTAATTCTTTCCTACTTTCGTAAGCACATCCTGCAGCTTCAGCAAGTGGTGCTGCAACTTTCAACGTAAGACAATTTTCCTGAATATTTCCTGCTGCTCCCGGTGAATTTTTGCTTATATACGCGAGAACAACGACCATTGCCGCAGCAACAACGTCGACAAGAAACATATCGTCCTTGGACTTCACTTTTTCCATTTTCTTCTCCATTTTTCTGATATTGGTTTCATCAAGTTTCATTTTTTTCAATTTCTTACCACGTGGGGAAAATCTTTGAAACAAAGTTTTGTTCCTTCTATATTGCGCCACAACATCGTTGTATACTGCGTTTCCATTGGTGCACAAGTGAAATAAATAACATAACCAATGCAGAGAACTGGAATCATCAGAAGGACCTTTCGTTGACAGTGGAGGTGCGATTGATAAAACTGAAAATATTTTTACGTGTTTACCGTCATCACCAAAGATTTTCATTGCTCGGGGAATTGCTTGTGCCAAATCACAATTTGCACCAGCCCCACCATCGACATATTCATCGTTGCCAATTTTGACTGGACTATCAAAGTATATTGGAGCATTTGAGGTTGCGAGCAAGACTTCGCAAGCCTTGTGATTCTTGTAGTCTTCGCTTGCTGTATCGAACAGTACCATACCTTCACTTTGGCTGAGTCTTCTGGCAACAGCTCCGGCCACACATTTCGGAGAACCCTTTTCCCGTGTATCACTTAAGCTGCACTCATTGAACTGATCTTGTAGGGCCTTCTTTATGTTGTCTTTTGAATATTTAAATAGTGAAGCACTCTTGTTCCAAGACCTTTCGAGTATCATCTTTGTTTTGCTGCGATACATCTCAATGCATTCTTCCACAGTCATCCGTTTCCTTTCATGATGGTTATCTCCGACTTTATTTCCACCAACCAAACCAAACGCAATCAGACCTCCTGTACTGGTTCCAACAATCATGTCGTAAACATCGGTGAGATGAATGGGATCCTCAACTTTTCTCAGATCATTGATCAAACTTTCTCGAACATCATGATCTTCCAAGAAATTTACTTCGCTTTCGTCATTGTGTTTGTTTACAAGGTAATTCAATGTCTTTGGATTTCTTAACACAATCGTTGCTAATCGTAAAATATCGTCCAGAATCTTCAACTCCATGAAGCCTTTACTTCCTCCACCATCGAAAGACAATATGTTGATATTTTTTTCTATTGAATCCATTTTCACGTTTATGACCTGAATGCATGAAAGTGACATCAAATCTTGAATTATTTCAATTTATAACTTTCAACCACATTCCTCACCCTTGCAGAAAAATGAGCATTAAATGTTTTTTATGTTTATATAGCTCTTCACATGTATATAGCTAGTAGGACGGCATCAAAATATTTTTAGCTTTTGTAGCGTAAAAAAGTTCTCGGTGGCTCTAGTGTATTTTACGGCAGATAAAATGTTAGCCCAACTATACCTAACATAAGTTTTGTAGTATTTTGTTAAGATAGTAGCGTGGTTTTTAGCGCAATTTGGGAAAAAAATAACATGCAGGAGTAGTAAATATTTTACCGTCATGATGACAAATTTAAAAATCGTCTTAAAAAGAGCAAATACCATGGTGAATGGCTAAAATAATAAGATGATAGTTCTTAAAAGAACTGTTTATAACCAGTAATTCTAAAAGAACTGTTAAGCACTAACCCAACAATTCTAAAAGAACTGTTTTTAAAGCTAAAAGACAATATATATGCATTTCTGCAGACTACTCATCAGGTGTCAAGTCTGCTAGTCCCGTCATCTGCCGACAAAAGGATTATAGGCCATGGGCCAACATCGAAAATTGTGATTTTTTCATGCGTCCATCGAGGAACCAAAAAAGTTTTTAACCATCATGTTGCTATAGCAGTACTTATCAACTTTAGCATGTATGGCAATCGTATAACTTGCACATTAAAAAGAAAACTCGATTATTTTATCTTGAATATATGATCAGAGAAAGTTGAAATCAATGTTATGTTTTTACGTCTTAGCCAATCAACGCAAAGAGAGTCTTGCTCTCAACCAATTAGATAGCGTCGGGGTGAAAAGTCTTTCACTACCCTATTTAAACAATGGCAAACAAGAAAGCTTGCCGATGTTGCTCACTCAGATGTTGAGTTTTTTGCGTTATATATATCAAAAATAGTGCTAACTTAGTAATAACATTATTTGCACTTGCTTCTTGGTGTATATTTACTTTTGTTAATATTAAATGGAGAAAATTTCCATGTAATAAAGCGAAATAGCGTTAGAATTCCGCGTCAAATTCTGGGGCTACTTGACGATCTTCACGTTGACAATTTGTCTTTCGCTGAAAATTTTCGCTCTTCAGAGTGATTTCTACCCATACCGTGGCCCGCAACTTCATTGCGATTGTTAAAGTCGGCTTCGCAATATCCAAATGCTGAGAAGAGAACAGAACAGGCAAATAGGGATAATGAGAGAGAAAAACAAGATCAACATACGGAATTTTCAATTTTGGCGACTTGTTATTTAGTATACGTGAGATTATTTGGTACCAGTTGAATTGCAAAGCTACATTTCCTTTCAATTTGAGTTTATTACTCGAAATTTACTTCAAATACTACTCAGAATAGTAGTGACTCTAAGTTCCCTTTTTTTGTTTCCATAAGAAAAGAAATACATATTGTATAAATTATTTTTATCGATGTTGCTTCAAACTAAAGCGATTTGTTATTTCGATATTAAACTATAATTTTGATAGATACTATCTTAGATGTCGTGTCTGCTTTCTTATGCTATGCCATTTGTTGAGCTATGAGTCCATTTTTTCAATTTTTGATCTTTGTTGTTTATTAACCTTTTTATATTGTAATTGGGCTGTCATGTCCAACATTCACAGATGTTTGCATTGCACACGACATCTTTGTTGTATTTTTGAAATTGCTAGTTGAGCGCTGTGCTACTACTGTTTCAGTATACTGTACATACAGTATGATAAGGTTCCAAATCTGTCCTCATATTGCAAGTAATGACGAAGATAAGAAGGCTTCTGGACAGAACTATAGTCTTGTTGTTGACAACTTGACAACTAAACGTAGTCGACAAGCAAAAACCACCGTCTGTGGATAACTTTTCGACAACTAAACGTGTAAAATTGTAGTTGTCGACAACAAAGCGGTTTCCCTTTTTTGCAAGGGAAACTGCAATCACACAAAAGTGTTGTTTGTCGACTACATTTAGTTTTCGACTACGGAAAGTTGTCGACGACAAAATACCTACTCTGTGGAGGCCCTTAGCAATTTTATTAACAAACCGAAGTAGAAAAATATACTTGGAGCATGGTATTGATGATTTTTGGTTCAATGAAGCAGAGACGAAATGCCTTTTTTTCATTTGTTCGGTGAAATAACAGTTTGAAAACGTTGATAAAACGTTGGCTATTATTCCGAAAGTATATATACTTTTGAAATTTTTTTTTTAAAATATACTATTGAATGTTTTATAAGCCGTCTTTTTATCACATATTTTTCATGTTTTTCTTTGTGATGACAATTTTATAACTGGTGCACTTCACATTTTTTCAAAGACTTCTTTAGTTGATAACTTATTTCTTGTGTGATAATTTCGAGGCTATGTGCAAGCGTAGCGATTTTTGGTTTCAAGATGGCAGACATCGTTGTACAACAACACAGTGAAACAACGCCATTTTCTCCTTTATGTGAAACTTTTAGATTTGACATACCTTCGGGAAATGATAAATATAATATTAACTATCTATGTTGTAAAATTCAGCTGGTTCCTCGGTGGACGCATGGCGATGTTATTTCTAGACGACTTTTTGCGATTGGGCCCATGGCGTATTAGCTACGTGTTTAATTTATCTCTGCTTTAAGCGTCATCTCTCAATTTAGAAATGACGTTAACTTTTTCCTAACATTATTAATATCGCATGATTTTGAAATTCTTATTTAGCAGACATTGACATCTGATGAGTATTCTGTCGAAATGCATAGTGTCTTTTAGCTTTAAAAACAGTTCTTTAAAAGCAGTTCTTAGAATTGTTGGGTTAGTGCCCTGGTTTTAAACAGTTTTTTTAAGAACTCGCTATCATGTTATTATTTCAACTATTCACCATGGTAGCTACTTGCTCTTTTTAACAAAGTAAATGGTTAAAAATGAACCAAACAAGAACCAAACAGAATTGGGAACAAAGTAAAAGGTTAAAAAGGAACCAAACAAGAAACTTCCTTTACATCAAAAACAAATGTACTGCTTTACAGCTTCCCTTTTCTCTATTTGTTCGCATGTCTGCATTTTTCATTTAGTAATCGCCATGGCGAACAATTCAACCTGTTAGTGGCCATTGCTTGCGCGAGCAATAATCACGAAACGAAACTTATTTGAGAAAAAATCTGGCCCCAAGGGAGTCACAACACGATGCTACACAATCTCGAGTTCTTTAACGCAGACCGCATAGAGTAGTTACATTATGATGCATTTCACTACATATGGCCCTTAGAGGGTTAAGTACAAGTTTCGGTTAATAGAAAATATATAACACTAACAGGGACTTGTTATGACTCACATCACAGCAGTTTTTCTTTAGAAATCCCATGTCTGAAAATAGTGACATTTAAAACGGTACGAATCCTATCCTGTGAGAATAGACGAACGTAGTAGCTATAATAAGAGCAACAAGAATCACTTTGGCAATATCGCCAGACATCAGAAACCAAATAATTAAAAAAAATTTTTTCTTTGAACAAACGTGTCTACTTAAATATGGCAAAATTCGTGTAAATCAGACGTACCTGTGTCGAGAGAAGTGAAGAGCTTGTTCAAATCAGAAATTTGTCAATATACCGTAAAAAGTCTTGAGAAAAATGATGATATCTGTTTCAATGCGATTGCATTTAGAATTTGTGAAGCTCCTTATCATGGCAGACGTAGAGTCGCAGTCAAACACTGCAGGTTGCTATCTAAGATAGAAGGAATATTGATGAAATTAAACGAATCTTATTCGTTGGCAAATAATTAGTTATGCTACTAGCAACTGTTGCTACGATGCAAGAAAATTTTTAATTAAAAACAGTGGATTTTGGTAAATTTACAGCTGTTTACATTTGTAGTTCCCCATTTGATCTAAACTCTCGGAAATTATGTCCTCTCGTCTCCATTGACATAAAGAATTAGCATATCTTATAAAACTTAAATAGTCTGCAAGTGAAGAATGCCAAGTCACGATAAAACTATTCCATACATAAATTATTCGTAATAACAGGAGCACTACATGCGGTCGTTTCCACAAGAACCAGCTAATGCAAGCCTGAAAATTTAACTAGCAATCTTATATTCTATAATAATAAATTACGTCAAAATGGTTTCCATCTTAGTTTTCAGTGTGTTCTCCTCAAAACACTCCTTATTCAATTCACTTTAATTTAATAGTGGAAGAAATAAATGAAGTTCGTATTCTTCTCTTGCCCGAATACCAATTACTGACAACTTTAATTTGCATTATATAGAATAAAAACAATAAAACACCTGCGTTGATTGGTTGATGGCTGAGCCTCGTCAATTAAATCAATCAAAGAGTATTTGCTAATCAATCATGAATACATGAGATAGAGGAAATATTAAAACCTCTGCTTTGAATTTATCTTTATCACAATATTGTTATTTTATAAAAGAAATATAAAGATGTTTTTGCCCTGATCTGCTTTCAAGTACTCCCAAAGGTCTCCTCGGTTTTCATAAGCACAATAAACATCTTTTATTTCTTAATTGAATATTTGCAAATCTTGCAAAGTACACCGAGCGGAAACATTTGTTTCCTCCTTAGAAACGTACGTCAATTTGAAACCTCCACAGCAGCAAACGTGATTATGGCACTTTAATAAGTTGCCACAAAATGAAAATTTTGCTAATTGAATCGTGTTTTTATTGTATAGTGAACACAAAAGGTCTGTCCATAAGCTAAGAGAGGACGAAAAAGTTAGTCTGGCTAAAACCTGGGCCTTTTTAATTGATTACAAACACTAAAGTATGATGGTCCTAGCTGCTCCAACTCTTAAGACATAAGTGACTTAAATATGGAGCCTAAGAGTTTGGACAAGTATATATATGATAAAATGGTCGAAAGAGACATATAAAACTAATTGCAAGCAAAAAGTTAAAAATAACCATAATCCGTAAAAGTACTTGTAATCTCAAATTTAAGTTATAAAACAAGACAATTACGCTGCAATACTTCGGTTTTATTTAAAAACAATCATCAGAAAGAATGACATATTTACAAGTTGCCAGTTAATTGTACATATATATATACATAGTTTGTATATATATACAGGTGTTCAGTTACAATACGAGAAAATTTAAGGGGTGTTTACATGAGCCCGGGTAGCCGGGATTCAGCCAAGCGTTAAATGATTTCGAAAAGATTTAATACTTATCATCAGATGAATGTTACTTATCACCAGAGAAAAGCGAATAGATTTAATACTTATCATCAGATGAATGTTTTTCAACACTTTCGCAATATTCTGATTCAATAACTACACGCAAAAAATTCAAAATCGAACAAAAAATTTGGCCTAATTTGAGAATTACAACAGGCATTACTTGCAGCGCTTAACAAACAGTTGTAATTTTTACGCTTGAAGTTTCAACTCTTTTCAATGCGTCGAAATGATTTTACGCCTTACTGAATCCCGTTTAGTCGGAATCATGTAAACAGCCCCGTATTGGCTATATTTACGATTGTTAGTTACCGAAACGTAAATGTTGCTCTAATTGTTGCTATAAGTTTAGAGAAACGTGTAAAATCCTTGCTAGTTAATTCTAGACTTGATCCAAAATTCAGTTAGCAATAACTCTAAATATTGAAATTCTTAAAAAATGTGTTTTGCGTGAATTGTCGTGTATGACAACATAAGTTTTCAATATTTCATGCTAGTAATTACGATAAGATCTTCATCTTCAATGCGAGAACTAAAGCCTGAATTTTTCAATTTTGGGGTGATGGTTTTTAGAATTTAGTTCCCCCTGACAGTTGAAGTGCTAAGGCCCTTATATTGGAGCCACTCAGTTAAACCCTGGTTCTTCAAACTCTAAGGGAAGGTTGTCCTAAAAAATAGTAGCCACGAGGTTGATAAATGATAAATTAATCAGCTGAATTTATAATTAATTTATTAATGCGAACTTATATTTTGTAGATTTTACCATTAAGTACAGGGTGCATCAAAAAATTCCAATTCAAATTTGGGGTTCAACAACACGGAATATATTTGAAAAAGTCGTTTGTTTTTTGCACTTTTGTTAAGTCTATTTATTTACCTTTCAAGAGACATGTTGTACGAATCTTTCAGTTGTGAAATGAAGGAGTATTTCTTTACAAATATAGCTCATAGAAATCACAATTTTCCGACAGTGGGAATTCCATTTTTTTTTCAAATCTACTCCCATAAGGCTTTTAAATGCTAATCATCACTGCAGACTTAATGCAAATTACACTTCTTCTTGTATTGTATGCTTTACTAACACAATGGTTTCAATTAAACATGGCAGAAGGCACATTTCTTGTGAAAACGTTTTTTGAAACCAGTCGCTTACAAAAAACACGCAATCAGTTCAAACAAAGATTTCCAGAACGACAAACTTTGGCCCTCAGGATCATCTGGTACGCTGGTACAACGTGCGTAAATTTGAGTAGAGTGGAACAAGCATAAATCGTAATAAAATTATGTAAATTTTATTCGAAAACGAGTTCTTTAATGCTAAATTGCATTATCTTTTGTTTTGATGTCTCACTTTAAATTCCTATTGGAGGAAAAATCTTATTTCAAGCTATAAGTTTGAACAGAAGACTGCGTGGTTAATTTTGATAGAATCGTCAGTTAAGGTGTATCAACAGAAGCCTAATAGGTTATTCTTTACCACCATGTAAAAACTATAAGCTTCACTCAAGTATGCTGCAGGCAGTTACCGAAAAAAGTTGGATTCGAATTTTGTTGATATAGCTACACTGTATTGCTTGCCTCCATGATTGTTGCTTGCTGTGCTAAAAATCATGATATGTGCAAGGAATCAAGATAAACTAATGGTTAGCTATCACTACTATTACCTGGTTAACACAAAACTTTAGGAACTTAATTCTTTCGACATTGAAGTTATGTTGCATCATATTAACTAACTCCATTTTACACTTTCTTTCTAAAACTGCCTAACTCATAAAATTATGTACCATTGTTTACACTGTTCTTGTTAACACAGAACTTTGGAACTTGATTTTTTCAATATTGAAGCTATGTTACACCATGTTATCTATCTATATCTTACACTTATTGCTAAAGCATCCTAATTCATACAATTATATGTAACATCATTAACAATGTACTGAAAACCTCTAATATTTTTTTTACCAGTCAAAACCTTGGAATATTGGATGTAATAGCAAATTGGTCGAATAGCATTGTTGATGAATATTTGATGTCGTGTCAATTACAATTCTCACCGCAAGTACAATAAGATTAGGGAGCTATGAAAAAATACCGACAAAATGGAAGGTAATAAATTTAAATAAAGTAGGTAAAGTGTTTTGTTTCATGCTCTACTGTAGCATAGCCCGCCAAGGGCAAGGTAAATGAACATTTTTTGAAAACAAGTTAATAATTCTTAGGATTTACATATTCAGATTAAAGGGTCAATGTGCAAGTTGGCTATGTTATTGATGTTTACCAGTCAACCAGTAAGTTTGATATTGGTTGACCAATGACCTAGAACCCAATCTACTGGGTATTTGACTCCGCCGAAATTGTATAGTAATGAGTAAGGCAAGCCCCTATCTTGAAAGGTGGCAAAACTGACGATATTTACGACTAATATCTACTTTTGCTGAGTTGATATATATTTGCAAAGTTCATAGTCCATGTTTGATTCTTAAAATGTTTGATAGGATGGTATTTTAAACTTTGTTTAACTTATTTTTTATTTTGAGTTTTGCTTTTTGCCACCTTTCAAGATGGCGTCTTTGCCGCATCTTGACATCTAGAAAATTGGGTTCTAAATCATTGTGGTTGATAGTTCACCATAATCATGGCAACACACATATCATTTGTGCAATAAACAGTAAAAGTGCAAGTTGTTAATCAGTAACACCACTCACCCCGACTCCGGTCCTGTAAGTGACAAATGCCTGGGAAAAAAGTTTATCATTTCTTTGGATGGTATATGCATTCAGCAAAAAAAAATTGAATCTTAGAACAAACTCCGTAACATAAATCAATGTGAAGCTGAATGAAATCACATTGAAGTTTACAAAGAATCTTAAAATAAACAGGTACACTAGGTATCTCCAGATTCTAGCTTAGAGGTACAAGCTGGATTGTTAGATACTGCTGACTATTGTATTAGTTCAGCATTATGGCCAAATTGTAACAAATTATCGGTATTTTTTGCGAATGCGTGACAAAAATGTGACAGAATATCATGCATCTAATGACAATATGGCAACTGGTAAATCATAATGGTTAGAAACAATATTCAAAGCTCACCAAAAATTTGTTTGTATTGAACATTTATTTCTGCGTATTATTGTGCTACAACCATGACATATTAAACCATGACCGCTTGCAGTCGCAAAGAATTTTTTTTAAAATGAACGCCTCCATTATTCAATGACTTTCTACTTACAGTGTTGTATGCGAGTGGATATAATGAAAACATATGAAAGCAATGAAATTGTCAACTATGTCCATTCTTGTATTGTCTTTTATTTGCTACTGTATTTCGTATTTATTATGATAGACGTACCAATCCAAATGGCAGACTGTGTCGTAATTCAAACTATGTGAACTTTAATTGACTTCAGGAGTTAGAAACTGCTCCTACTGTTTATAGAAAAAGGATGGTAAGGAAGAGACTTCCACCTTACTTCACTGGTAGTGTCTATATTCTTGGCCATTTTGTTTATCTCGCTGTATATCCTAGCTCTCTTTCGTTTGTAATTTTCCGCTTTCGCCAGGTCGCCATATCTCACAAATATATCGTAGAGCAGCTGATAAATTTCTATCAGCCATGGATGATTTTCAGAAAACAAATTTTCAATCATGTCCAAAGCTTCCAACAGGTTCATCTTTGCTTCTTCGAATCTTTCTGCGTTGAAAAGGCAAAGACCAAGAACTGACAGGTTAACGGCAATTCCGGGATTATCATAATCAAGAACATATTTCTTCATCTTTTCCTGAGCTTGTTGGGCATAGACCAAAGCAAGATCGTTATCGGGTGGATTTTTTAAGGTCAGATACCTTGCTAAATTTCTCAGTATTAGAGAGACGCCTATCTTGTCTCCAATGTATTCGTATATAGCTTTAGCATCCTCCAGATTTTTCTTAGCCGCATCGAAGTCACCTTTCTTTAACAAACAAAACCCAACGTTGAAATAAGATTCGGCGACAAGAGGATCGTTTTTCTCTTTGCTTAACTTATCCCTTACATCTTGGGCTAGAAGAACAAAAGTGAGGGCTTTTTCTATCATTCCAAGACTTAAGAAACACAATCCAATGTTATTGAGAATTTCTGCCTTTTCAGGATTAACGTCGTCTGCGGTGTATGTAGCTGCCTCCCTGTAAAGATTGACAGCTTCGTCATATTTTCCTAGTTGCTGCTTGCACCATCCTTCATAAATTAGGATGCGAGCAAATTTCTGCTTCTCTTTGATGTAATTTACGATTACTTCATTTAGATATGTTTCCGCATCATCATATCGAAATGTTTCCATGTAAATGTCTGCTATCTCAATCAAAGAATCTACAAGAAGCAAGTCAGACTTTGGGTCACCTTGATAGCAGAGAAGGTCTCTGACACTGGTTTTGAGTAAATAAATTGCCAATTGAAAATTTCCTTGTTTTTTTGTGCATTTTGCTATGTTATAAGTAATCTTCATCATGGTAAAATCGTCCTGTTCGTCAACCCTAACTTTCCTTTGCAGAAGACGCTTGCTTGTTTTGTACGAAATGATTGCAGATTCATATTCTCTCTTGCTTTGATGTGCAAGTCCTGCAGCTTGAGCAAGTTGTGAGGCAATTTCTGGAGATATTTTTTGATAGTGTTGTCCTTTATCAATGGACGCGAGTACAACAAGCATTGCGGAGGCAACAACGTCGACGAGAAACATGTCGTTGTGAAGTTTTTCGTCATCCATGGCATCTATCATGTTTTGGACGTTAATTTCATCAAGCTTGAATTTTTTTAAGCTCTTACCACGTGGCGACAGCCTTTGAAACAAAGTTTTGTTCCCTCTGTTTTTCTCCACAAGGTCGTTAAAAACTGCATATCCATCGGTGGATGCATTCACAAAATAATACAACCAACTCGAAAGACCACCATGAGAAGGAATTTCTGATTTGGAAGACGAGGGTGGTGCAATTGATAAAACCGAAACAATTTTTACTTGTTTACCATCTTTTGCAAAAACTGTTTGTGCACGTGGTATAGCTTGTCTTAAAGGACAATTTGCACCAACACCACCGTCGACAAATTCGTCGTTGCCAATTTTAACTGGAGTGTCAAAGTATATTGGAGCATTTGAGGAAGCGAGTAAGACTTTGTAAGCCTTGTAATTCTTATAGTCTTCGTTTGCCGTATCAAACAGCACAAGATCTTCGTATCTGCCGAGTCTTCTGGCAACAGCTCCGGCTACGCATTTTGAATCGTGGAGTTTGCGAAAATCTTCAAGGCTGCAATCACTAAACTGCTTTTTTACAACTTTCTTTACGTTGGCTTGTGAGTATGTTCCAAGGGGAATGCTGGACAACATTGGGATACAAGAAAGAAACTTTTGCATTAACGTCTTCTTGAAAATGATCTTCGTTTTTGTAAGATACATCTGAATGCATTCATCAACACTCATCCGTTCTCTTATATGGTGATATTTTCCAACTCTTTTCCCACCAACTAAGCCAAACGCAACAAGAGCTCCTGTACTGGTACCAACTATCATATCGTACACATCGGCAGGATGAAGGGGATCCTTAACTGCGTTCATATCATTAATAAGACGTTCTCGAACGACCAGATTTTCCAAAAAATGCTTTTTCCGTTCATTACATTCTTCGTTTACGAGATAGTGTACTGTTAGAGGATTTCTTAACACAATCGTTGCTAATCGTAAAACGTCGTCGAGAATTTTCACTTCCATCACACCTCGACTTCCTCCACCATCAAAAGACAATATGTCAATATTCTTTTCTATTGAATCCATTTCCACGTTTACCACCTGTATACATAAATACAACAGAAGAGTGACATAATCGTATCTATAAATGGAGTCAAATGACGTGCATAATGCAATTCAAAAGGGATCTTTAAAAATTTGCCTCATTACCACATCTGCAGTGCATTTTACAGGTGAGACATGCGGTCTTTTTGGCGTTAAAAATTACTAAAATTTTCTACGTTAAAAGCTCTGATATAGTTAATATTTTTGTCCAAACTATTCAGGTCGTTGTTTGCATGCAATAATTTCGCATTTCCTGCGTAATACCATGCGCGCTATGTAACCCGATCAATTTTCTATTTCCTACCTTGGGTTTAAGCTCTTCTTCTCTATAGAGAAGAGATTTATGGCAAAAAATTTATTGAAGGACAACATCTGTATAACTACGTTTTCATGAAAGTGGCCTGTCGTAAATGCAGGTTTTATTTGTATGCACTTTACGACATCCATCTACGCAAATATTTGTTGGCAAATACAAATCTTCACTGAAATTCTCATCAGTTTAATGGCGACTAATGAACGAGGACAAATAATGTTCACTAGCTGAAAAGCCTGAAATATGATTGTGCATCAAAATTACTCAGCAAAAGAGATCCCGTGTTTTGCCAGCGATATGTTTTACTAAACACCTAAACACTACCATTACTATCTGTGTTGCCATTGTGTATGTATTACTATTGATATTTGTACCAAAACCTTTGTGTTTTTCTACCTTCTTTCCTTTTACTTAGCCTACAAAAATGCACTTCACTTTCTATATTGTTTCTATGTACAACGTTTACATTTTAGCATACATTGCAATATACGTAAGAATTTCTTCATTTTCATTGTTATCATAGAACTTTTCACAGTAATAATCAAAGTTAGTTTGCTGCATCTATCATCGTTTTTTTAGAATACAAATAAAAGCATGAATGAAAATTTTACAAAACCCTTGTCTTAAGCGTCGTCTTTTATTTAATGAATATTATCTAGCTTAAATGTAAGTTATTTTGTTAAGATATCCTTGTCGTTCTGATAGTCTTCTGCTGGATGAGTAGTCCAAAGCAAAGGCATCAAAGATCTAACTGTCGTCACTGCTGGACATTTTGCTTATATAACGCAACGATAGTTTTGTGGTCATGCTCATAGTTCAGTTCACCTGACATAAACATGACAATTAAAATCATTACCGCATTATTTCGACACCGATAAAAGTTTTCCAGCTGAATTAGGTTTTGGTCTCGACTATTTTTTACTCTCCACATTTAAATTTTTGTGATTTTACTGTCCAAGTAAGCTATACACGCACTGATATACGAGCTCACATATATATGTGCAAAACACCCCAGCTGGTTTTTTTTTACGGAAAAATTACGCACCTCAGAATCTTCAGGTGAAGACATCGCATTTATTAGAAACGTACTATCTTACGACTACCAAACTTGATATGCTTCGCTTGATGTTCGTGGTCTTCAAAGCTTCCTTCATTGCGAGGTGACGAAAAATGCGCATTGAAGACCCCTGGTGGTTGACTTCATATTTCGTACAGCACATGATGTAGCTAGGTTCAGATTTCACTTAGGTTTATATTGCTACCAACTACTTATGCTACAAGTCTACAGCAATCAGCTTACTATTATTACTTTTTATCAACTTGAATTGCTATTAAAATCTGTCATTTCTGTAAATCTTAAAAAGCCTACTTACTGCAGCAGAAGCATCCCACGTTCTCATGACTTAATTAAAACTATTTATGTCACATTCTTTCTTAAACCTACATATTAATTTGCATCAGAATTATCTCATAGTCTCATGACTTAATTAATAAAAACTTTTTTATGCAAACAGTGTTCCTAAGCCTACTTATTAATGTGCTACAGAAGCATAGTATGGTCTTATGACTTGAATGTGGAAACTTTTTTTATGTAAACAGTCTCTTAGTTCTTTGCTACAATATTTACCAAACATAATCGAAATTTTTAGTTCATGTATTTTGACAAATGCGTCATTATTTATAATCTTGTCAGTGCTCAAAGGTGACTCAAAGCTGTTGATCTGTTTAGACGTCCAAACATCACAAATGTTCGCTTCTTGCTAATCACCATCATTTTATGCAAGTCGCTGAGCAGCTGGTATATTTCGATAAGACATGAATGATCTTCCGACAAAAATGTTCTATTACGTTGGAAGCCTTCAAAAGTCTTTCTTTTGCTTCTTTAAATCTTCCAGCTTCAAAAAGGCACGCCAAGAGCTGACAAGTGCCAGTGTCAATACTGCCGACAATTTTTTTCTTATCTTCCAAAGTTTGTGGTGCTTAAGCCAAGGAATCAGCGTGTTTCGTTTTCTTTTTTAATCACTCTCAATTTGCCAGATTTGATAGTATTATTGAAAGTTTACGTTCGTGTTCTATTTCTTCGAATGTTTTTTTTGGCCTCTTTAAATTTTCGATTTCTTCTTCGTAGTTCTTGCTCTTCATAAAATAAACTGCTTCGAAGTTGAAAGACTCGGCTACCATGTCAGGTTTTTTCTTGTTGCTCAGATCTTCGTCCCATTCATTTAAATTTTCTCAATTCTTTGGCCTGGCGAACTAAGTCAAGAGCTTCTTCATCCATTCCATGTTGTAAATAACACACCCAACGTCTTTAAAATTTCAGCCTTTTGAACTTGATTGTTTTCTGCGATGTATGCGGCTGTCTCTCTGTAAAATTTAACAGCTTCCTCAAATAGAACATCTGCCCTTCTTATTACAAACCACTAAACTTAGCAACAACTCTAACTTCTGATCCTGTTCTGAAATGTGTTTTGCATAAATTGTTATGTACGACGATACAAATTGTTCACTGCGAGAAATGTATTTTAGAGACTAAAGTCTAAATTTTGTGCATGGGGATAGTTTTCAGGGCTGTATCACAGTTAAAAATGGCAATGCACCTTGATTTTAGAACAGTTTGAGCCGTTTCGTGTCGTACGAACTGTGTAGTCTACTGAAAAAAAGTTGTGATAAAATGTAGCAAGCATGAGAGGTTGATAAATCAATTTAATTGACCAACGGAAAGTATATCATTGATTTAACAATGTCAATATATGATATTGATTATATACCATCATACGTTGCGTGCTTCGATGATCGTGAGAGTGTAAACTAACATTTTTTAGGGGGGGGTCTTGGGAGCATTTTCAATGCATTGAAAATTATCAAATAACTGATTATGAAAATAAGAGCTCTGGATTTTGCATAAAGTGTCTTTTACGTGAATGTGTTAAAAATAAAGGAGGGATATAGTTCTCATGGGAGAAGATTACTGCTTTATAAGATAATCATGAAGAAACATAAATGAAATTTAGAGGTAAACGAATGGTTCGCTATCACCACTAATGTCTGGTTAGCACAAAACTTTGGAACTTGATTCTTTCAACATTGAAATTATGTTGCACCATGTTATCTCGCTCTTATTACTCGTGCTATGGAGGGGCACGAGTAGAGGTTTTGGCTTTCACAATATGGCGACCGCAAGGAGTGACAAAATGTAATACTTCGACAATACTAGCATTAAAGACATCCTTTTTTCAAATAATACAAAGGATGCAAAATATATACGCACAAAAGATAAAGCTACGCTACAACATATTGCGTGCTACGATATATACTTTTCAAATCCTATGAAAGCAAGAACTATCATCGATATTTTGAATTTGTTGTTTTCAAAATTTTACAGCTTCCTTTTCTTGAGAGATTCTAGCATTGCAATTTGGCATTTGTGAGGATTTAACTTCCATACTTTTGCTAACAATACTTATAACACTACATTCTTGTTTATATTTACGAAAACTACTTTAATGTTTGTAAAATGTTTGATCTAACTAAGAAACCGTTAAAATCACTCGCCATCAGCTCATGTTTTCTTACATTATTTTATGTTTTGACCAAATTCGTTGTCAAAACGCAAATTGTGCACTTACCAGAGCACGAATGTACGCCTGAGCAGGCGTCTTGTTTACACTTATTTCCTAAAACTCTACACCATAAAATTCACATTATATTCAAAATGTTCAATATTTGTTTTATTAGTCAAACACTTGAAAGTTGGATGTATTGGCAAACTCAGTCGTGAGCCATTGATAATGAATATTTGATGGTGTATCAGCTACTTCAGTTTGCTTACAGCAAATACCATGAGTGTTGGATGCCATGAAATTAGACCGGTACAGTGAAAGGTAAGAAATAAAATTAAAGTAGTAAAAGTCTTGTGCTTCATGTTATAAACATTGCTAGGTAAAGGAACATTGCCTTAGAAAAATATTAACAATGTTTAGAATTTGCATAGTCAGACTAAATGTGCAAGTTCATTGGCTATGTTACTGATGTTTGGAATATTAACCAGTTAAGTTTAGTGTTTGTTGACAGTTGTCCCTTGTTAAGGCAAGATCAATTTTCAATGATCATAACTACTGAGGGATTGAAGTCAAAATCTGCACCTGCACTTCATTTGTACAATAAAGAGTGAAAATGCATGTTGTTAATCACCCACACACCAACCCCTCTTCTTCTACAAAAGTGTCATACTTAAACAAGAAAATATGCCAGACATTAACAGTAAGACAAAGATATGTTGCTATTGAAGAAAACTGCTTAAATGACAGCTTTCTAAAACAGTTTATTCGTAGCTCGTTTTGTTCTTAAGATAATGAAGTTATTGTAATGTCCGACTTACCCAATCAGTGACGTCATATTTGATCATGAGCGGCTGCAAATTAATGAATATCCTTCAGTGTCCTAAAAACTTTACTAATGCAGATTTTATACCATTATCACATCACACAGACAGGAAATAGTCCAGGTTGAGATGATAGAGATGAATGAGTTAAAGAAATGGCGATTTAATTCAATCAAATGAACATATTTCTATGGCATTCAAATAATTTCAACTTATTATAGAAAAAAGTTTTGCTTTAACATAAAAAGTCTTTACTATCTTACTTGTTCTGTGTACATAAATATTTCTGGCCAATTGATTGGATGATATATGCACTTAGCAACAAAAGAATGGAATCCTGAAACAAACTCCGTAACATTGTTGGATCAATGTGAAATCGACTGATATCACAATCAAATTGAAGATGATCTTACTATAGTACTAAGTAGATTAGATAAGCTGTAGATTATTATAACGGTAGATTATTCTGGATTAGCGTTATGGTCTGGATTACCAGAACCAATTGACTATTGTATTAGGAAAACGTCATCGCCAAATTGTAGCCAATTAACCGTATTACTGAAATACGCAACCAAAAAGGCGACAGAATAGTTACAAGTTTGGAACATGCATTTGGTTCCACTATTGAGTTCTATAATAACTCGGGCTATCTTAAGTGCGGCTTTAAATATTGGATGACGCCAAAAAGATGGGGGAATTGACCTATTTCCGCTGAGATTTTCCGAAATTGACTGCTCTGCAGAAAATTCTGCAATTTCTCACTTCCCCCTGATGAAAGAGTAAGAAAAAGTATTTTCGTATTTGGCATTTTACTAGCAAATTTATGATGAAGCCTGTGAATAATAATATGTAATATTTGAAGCCTGTGAATACAAAATTGTGTTTTAGTATTTCTTTTCTTTTTTTCTCTGTTTCATGTCTTTTCTTTGAGAGTGCAAAACTTTCAGAAAGCAAATTTTCAATCATATCTTGAGTATTTAACAAGTTCATCTTTGCTTTTCAAATCTTCCCGCTTTGAATAAACACAGTCCAAGAACTGAAAAGTTAACGGCAATTCCAGGATTATTATAATCAAGGAAATGTTTATTCATTATTTCTAGAGCTTGTTGGGCATAAACCAAAGCCAGATCGTTGTCTGGTGGATTTTGTAAGGTTAGGCATCTGGCTAAATTTTTCAATACAAGAGGACGCTATATGCTCATCTCCAATGCGCTTGTATATATCTTTAGCATCCTCCAGACTTTTCTTTGCCTTCTTGTAGTTACCTCTACTCAATTAGCAAAATCCAACATTGAAAAGAGATTCGGCAGCAAGAGGATCGTTTTTCTTTTCAATTAACTTCTTCCATACATTTTGGGTTTGGTGAATGTAATTGAGGACTTCTTCTCAATTAAAGAATTTACAGAAAATAAAAGAAATGCATATGACTTCACATTTATTTAATGGTAGTCTCCAGCCATCACCACCTATCTTTGATGACGAAAAGGATCAAAAAAGGGAGTTGCTTGTGAAGGAGCCTACAAAGGAAGAGAAAAGTTCCCAGCCCTCAACACAAAGTTTTGAGGTTCAGCATAGCAATAAAAAGTCACTATCAGCATAAGTTTCAATGGCGAACTATCAGCATAAGATTGAATAGCAAACTATTAGCATAAGTTTCAATACCGACAGCTATTTTTTACGAAATTTTCTAATATTTAAATAAATGCAAAAAACTTCTGTGAACAATATTGCAGTGCGCGCAGTGCTCATGCCAAGGCACAGAATAATAATTATACAGATAAGTCGCACAAATTTGCACAGCGTCTTCACGGCCGCCATTATTCTAGCAAGATACTTAGCGTTTTCATTTGTTTCCAACCACTGCATCAACTTGACGAAATAACTCGCAGAAAACCTCCCCAAGAAAGGAGTCTCCAAAAAACAGACACTAGGAACTACCTGTAGAAATGACTCCGACAAGAAAAACAATCAGCGTAATTATATATTTAGCATTAAATATTTTCTTAACATTTGAACAAAAGCAAGAAATAATATTCACTGCTTTTCTTTCCTGATCCAAAATATTTTAGGATTATTGCAGGAACAAGAAACTACTAGTGGGAAACAAAAAAGTTTCATAAACCTAACTTGGCAACAGAAAGTTAATTTTGCCATGAAAATTTTAAGTCTAAAATGTAAAATAGTTAAAACACATCACTCCTTTAATTAATTTTAATTAATTAGTCAATTAACCCATTACACATTGGCAATAGACATTACACTATTCCTTGCTAATTCAGCTGTCTACACTTTAATCTGATTAATTTGTTTTCCATTGTTCGTCATCCATTGATTTGGTATTTTCATACGTCAGATATCATGGGATCTGTAATGATTTCTTTACCTGAATGAAAAGATTTGTATACGAAAGAGAGATTTTCTACATCATTCTTATAAAGTGTAATGAATTAATCACACAATTCATTATCGCTAAACATCCAATGTAAGTGTCATTTTTTGCCATTGCACATAGGCATAAGTAATAAGGTTTCGACGACAAATTTTTTAGGATTATTATTGATGTGTCGATCAAAAGTTCATGTATACCTCAATTTCATTTTGTTGCTTTTCAAACAGCTGCATAACATTACCAGGCTTATGACAATATCGCCCTTTACACACATATCCTTTAGGACAACACCCAATAGGATTTGTACAGCAGATTCCATCTTTTAGAAAACAGCAACCATAACTTCTACTACCGACGTCTGAGCAGCACATTTGTCCATCGGGACACCTAAGTGGACCGCATTTCACCGTATGTACCTAAAAACAGCAGTGGTGAAGTTAAATGGTTACTTAAATTGGCTTGTTGGAATCTTTCCTAAAGAAGCTAACATAACAAAACAAAGGGCAAGTGCTATAACGAACGAATGACTATTAAAACATAAAATAATGTTCTATTAGACAAAATTTACTTTTATGGAAAGTATAAATGCATTAAGCCTAAACGTGGAAAAGTAAATGAATATTTTTGTAGAAAAGTAAAAACTTGTTGTCTTAAAAATTGACTGAATGTTTAATTGATCATTTTTTTCTGTTATTTGTTAAAAAAATAATTTGCTGAAGGCAATGGAAAAATACGTAGCTACGGCATTAACGACAAAAGAAATTGCGGGGTGTGATGTTCAATGAAAGTCAAAATCATCTATCATGGAGAAGTTGTCTGATATCATAGAAAGCGTGGTCAGTTTTTTAAAATCTAAATATTTTAAAGACAACATGTTGCTCAAAACATTTCTGTGCGTTTACTACAGGAATAGACAGCTCTTATTGTGTCCTAGTCCTTGTAGTGAACATGTTGCCATTGCGTCACTTAATTAAAAGTATTTGTGCCCCACCTATATCTTTTCACTTTTTAATTCACCATCTTGATTGAATTCATATTCTGATTACTAAAACAACAGCCAATGAATTCTATTCCTTCTTCCTTGTATAAGATGCATGTTAAGGCATATGTGCATTACCTTAGCTGTCCGTTGTTTGTATTTATATTGTGCGATTATACAATTTATATTTCAGATTAAAAGTCTATTTCTTATTTAAAGCCATACAACTCTTATTTTTACAACTATCTATAAAATTTTTCAAAGCAAAATCTAGAAATTGTCTTAAATAAAGTTGAAATATACAATAACCTTACAAAGCTCCCTCAAAGCACCAACCTTTGATGTTGAATTTCCGACAAAACATTCAATGAACATGATTTGATTAAAGATGAGAGCAGCTGCAAAAATCCAGATCGTTTGCATATTCAGCTACCAGAAAAGCGACTGGTTTAGTTTTACAGACTAAGAATAGGGAAAATTAACTAAATTAACCAACGAAACGTTCTTTTATATCAAACTTGACAAACGTTTTTGTTAAAATTTTGTTGTGTTTAGATAGCAACTTTTATAAAACACTTTTATTCAGATTTCATTCAAAGTTTGGTTTGACGATTTACAGGTATGCTATTAATCATTCATTTAAAGACGTAATTTTTTCTTTGTCATTGTATAGCAAAAAATAATTATATTGTTGAATATTTGCGTTTCAATGGTTATAATTACTTTCTATGATATATCCCAATCATCTATGGTGTTAAAAAGTAGTGCCCGATGGGGCGAGGGGGGGGGGGCAACAAAACACTCAACGAAAATCATCTACAGAATACGGCGTATTACTGCATATTAATATATAATGTCACAAGAACGATTAATTTAACATAGAAATAACAATGGCACACATATTATTTTTGTCAAATAAATTTTTTTTCTAGGTATACAAGAAATTCGTACTTGCCATTGATTATAACATGTACAAATTTATTTTTCTACAGAAAAAACTGAAATTTATAAAAAAAGAAAATTAGCTACTTTTAAAAAGTAGAAATTTAACCATACACATACTATGCTAGAGAATTCGATAAGTGCTTGATGTGCTCATGGCAATGTTTCGTCATTCATATGACATAAGAAAGACCATTGAAGACTCATGAGTGAGATTTACCTCCGCTTATATGTTTTCAAAATGTGCTAAGGGGAAATCCACTATAGCATTAAAGTTTAATTTACTCAATAATATAGTCAAAGTCATCGCGGTTTTTTTTTTATTTCGCTTTCATACAGCTTCTAGGAAAAAGCTTGAAAAGTTTAACAATAAGTGAAACATACATGAAAGTTAAATGAGATTCAAACAATACAAATTAAGATTAAATGAAGATATGATCTTCGCATTTTGCTGGACAATTTAAGCAATCGTCTCAGGACCTGAAAAAATCAGGTGACTCAACGGGATTCGAACCCATGACCTCTGCGGTGCCGGTGCAGTGCTCTGACCAACTGAGCTATGAAGTCACACAGTAAATGGTTTGAACCCGGGAGTATCGTTATATGTTTGTAAATGATGATCGTCCAGGTTAATAAAGTCCTGAGAAGGACTGTTTTTGATGTTGTTGACTGACGTTTCGACAACCTTAGCGGTAGTCATCTTCAGAGTCAAATGATTCATAATATTATTTTATTTATTTTATAAAAAACATTCATACGACATTCCTTTCACGAGAAAACATGAGCCCAACAATATTGACCTGCTCACCACTGTGTGACTTCATAGCTCAGTTGGTCAGAGCACTGCACCGGCACCGCAGAGGTCATGGGTTCGAATCCCGTTGAGTCACCTGATTTTTTCAGGTCCTGAGACGATTGCTTAAATTGTCCAGCAAAATGCGAAGATCATATCTTCATTTAATTTCAATTACCGCACTGCATAAAAACATTCATACAAATTAAGATTGTTAATAAGAAACACCAAATAATCAACTATGTAAAAATGTCGCAGTAAATTGAAAAATTGAATTATATAATTGGAGTCGTTTTGTAGTTAAAATGAAAATCTATAATCAGTTAAACACATCTGTCTATATAATAAGAACATATAATATTTTCATGAAATACGTTTACCTTAAAATGCAAATAAAATTCCAGCGATTTTTTCCGTGTGTAGTGTTGATGTCAGATCACACTCTCCAATAACCACTGAACTTTCACGACTAGGAAGCTTATATTTGTAAAAATGATACAAAAAGGTTGATGGTCGCGTGCCTGAGTGCAATGTAACATATGACTTACGTAAAAAGGGGAGGAGCTATGAGATTGATTTCAAAGTACAAATGAGAAGTTCAACTCTCAAAAGAAATTAAGACCTAGTTTAAACGTCGAACTTTACATGAACCGAACGCATTTAAAACAAAAAATATTAAGGAAGTTCGATCCATCTCATTTTCTTTGTCTTAAATGCATTCGGTGCATGTAAAGTGCGACGTTTAAAACAGGACTAAAACTTTAAAGATGAACTTTAGTATTTATTAAGCGCAGGAACCTTATTAATATTAGTCTCAGATACTCTTTAATGAGATATTTAATGCTTATTCAAGGTTTCGTCCTATACCACAAGGGGTCTAGAAGTCTTTACAATACAAAAACATGAAAGATACCACGTGTAAACAACATGTGTTTCACATGTGAAATTGGCTAATACACAACTAAAGACTATATTTAGTACAATCGCATGTTCTTCCCACGTGTTTCCCAAGAGTGTTCCACTCATTGGAAATTGTAACAGTCACATGTTGAGCACAAGTGAAGTTATATGTAGAGTGAAGGCACCAAGGGGGATGGGATAGCATTTCCTTCACTTTTTTTGTTTGTCCCCATTGCTCCACAAAAAATAACCCGAGATTATAAAAGTTTTATAAAAATCAGTCTTAAAAAGTAAAATTTAACCTTTAGCAATGTCTTGTATTTCAAGCATTGGGAAAAAACTATATGCTTCGAGCAGTTTTGCATGGCAAATTATGCAACACACGGCTCAAGCAGAGTATACTTTACAAAACAATGTGATAAGTGCATGACGCACACAAGTACAATGTACGGCCATTCATAGATGACATAATGAAAGGTCATTAAGGCCAACCAACTACTGAGATTCGGTTCAAATTCACTATAGTATTACTTTCATATACTGTATAACAAAGGCAAAGACATCACTTTTTTTTATTTTGCAGAACACAACCAGCTTCCCAAAATAAAGGCTTAAAAGTTTAATAAGAAGTAAAACATAAATGAAAGGCAAATCTACTTCAAAATAATTGTACAATACTTAAATGAACGATAGCTATTTGAATTATATGAACGCTGAAAAGTCAATTTTGTAAAAATGTGACAGTCAATTGAATTATGTCATATAGCTGACCGACCGCGCGTGCTCTCCGTCGCACTCGCATGTGTATAATAAACCTGACGTCACTCTACGCATGCATACTGATACATACCAATACCACAATACCATCAATTTCAAAATTTTTGCAGCAAAGCGTTAAGTTTGCGTACGCATTTTGAATAGAATTCAGTAAAGATTGGGCGCAAACACAAAAAGGAAGAGTCCTCAGATATACTAATCATTGATAACTGTGTTGTTGAGATACTCAAGAATGAAAAATTGCCTCTTGAAAAACAAGAAGATATCATCATTTGATACTAACTTGACATCATTATTTAATTATGTGCTATGCAAATCAAGTGTCTCGTTAATTCAGCCTCATGTGTTTTATAAACAGTGACGCACCAAGCGGTGTGTATGTGGTGTTGGACCCCGCGACTTTTAAAAATTGGTTGGTAAATTTTTAAAAGATAGATAATCGTCGGTTTTTAAGACTAAAGCAGTCGGTAATTTTCAGATTCAAGCTATTACTTGTAGACGGTGATTTCACTTTCACGGCACAAAAAATTGAAAATTCAAACTTACTTGAATTATGTAGTCTTGTAAACTCTTATGATCCTTAAGTGTGACTTCAAAATTTTAGAGAATTGTAAAGTTCTTTGCTGAAAGCGTTTAAGGCTATAAAATGGTTTGTTTTCACCTACTTGTGCCGCGCCGTTTAAATGTACAGTTGCAGTGATCCAACTGTAGTAAATTGAGAACCCATTTTCACGTTTGCTTATTGAAACTAAAAAACTGTTTGTTTTAAGTTCTTGTTTCATGGAAATGAAAGTACAAAAGTTAACGCCATACTAGAAGAAGCGGTATTTAATAAAATTTTCAATAACAATAATTTTCACCTCAAAATATTACAATGTATATAACACAAGGTTTCATGCAAACAAGGTTATAGGTAAAAAAATAAACATTAGTGTTTCAGCTTTAAAACATTTTTTACTGTTAGCATTGACTTTCATAAAAGGGTATATAGCCACAATTAACTTTTTGAATTTACTTTAAGTTTATACAACGCCTAGATATTCTACTTTAATTCGTTCTTGTATATATCGTTCTTGCTTTGATGGTGCACAATTGGGTAAATAAAACAAAGAAAATTATTTTTATTTAATAATGGCGTTTGTCGTTTTTTCTTTATTATGGCATTATAAAATGATTTAGCTAAAAGTACGACTCAAACGATAAATCCCAGAAGAAGATGTGCAGAAACTGTGGGATTCTAAATCTTGTCTTGTATCTTCGGTTTCGAAGGAACAATATTATCCCCTTTAGATTTCAAACTTTACCAGTTGTATGAAAAGTATTTGCCGAAACTGCATGTTTTCCATATTTTGAAGCTGAAATAGTTCAAAATATTATTTGACGTCTTTTTTATGTTCGCAAAGTTATCGTTCTACTCATATTGGAGTTTACTGGTTGGTTCACAAAAAAAAAACAACAAAACGATCGATGCGTTTAAATGTTTATTTTATGGCTAACTACATCAGTACATGGGTGATTGGTAGCTTTTGTACATGATTTTGTACATGCTAACTGCCAGTGCTTTAAATCATGACACACTATTATGCATGCAATATATTTAAAGTTCTCCATGCAGCTAGTCAACTATATTTGTTTTTCAGTTGTTTATATTATCCTCTTAAAAACTCGCAGTTTGTGTGGATGCTCTTTAGAGTACACGTAAATTTACCTCGTGCATTGTTGTTTTCTTTAGACTTTTTTCTACATGCGTTCTATTTCGTTTGAAAATTTTTTTCCAATTAGCCTACGTCTTGCATTTCGTAATCTTTTGATTATGTTTTGTCTCTTGTATTTTGCTTCCTTCTTTTTCTTGTCGTAATTTTCTGCCTTTTCATTTTCACCGTTTTTCTTTTCCAATTCGCACAGGAGCTTATAAATTTTGATCAGCCTTGGATGATTTTCTGAAATCAGATGTTCCATCACACCTAAAATTTTTAGCAGCTCTATCTTTGCTTTTTGAAATCTTCCAGCCTTGAAAAGACACTGACCAAGAACTGACAAGCTTATAGCAATTTCTGGATTTTTTTCATTATTCCTGGGATTATTATCCTGAAAAGTATGTTTTTTCATCATTTGCAGAGCTTGTTGCGCGTAATTCAAGGAATCTGGGGATTCGTTTTTGGATTTGCATATTGCCAAATTTCTCAATGTCAACGAAACGCTGATTTTATCTCCAATTTGATCGTATTTGGCTTTAGCTTCTTCTAATTTTTTTATTGCTTCGCTGTATTTCTTTTTCTTTCTCAAGCAAAGCCCGTCTATAAAAAAAAACTCGGCCTCCTGAGCATCGTTTTCCTGTTTTGTTTTTTCTTTTATCCTCTTTCTCATTTCTTGGGCTTTGGAAATAAGATATTTGGCTTCATCGTTCTGTTCTACACTTCGGAAACACAACCCTAAGTTACTAAGAATTTGAGCCTTGTCATAGCTATCTTTGTCTTTAGTATAACTAGCTGCCTCATTGTAAAGATCGGCAGCTTTCTCAATTTCTCCTTTTTGCTGCTTACACCTTGCTAAATAGGTTAGAACACGTGCAGATTTCTTCCTTTCTTCAGGGATTTCATTCAAATATTTTTCTGCATCAACGTAATGAAAAGTTGTCAGGTAACAGTCAGCTATTTCAATTAAAGTGTCAACGAGTAGATTTTTACACTTTTCGTCATCTCCATGTCGACTAAGGTCTATCACGTTGGACTTGAATAAGTCTATTGCTGACCTAAAGTCTCCTTGTTGTTTATAGCAGTTTGCGATGTTATACGTAATGTTCTTAATCGTAGTGATGTCACTGCTGACTTTCTCTTGCAGACGTTTGCTTGTTTCGTATGAAATGATTGCCGACTCGAATTCGTTTTTGCTTTGGTATACACATGCTGCAGCTTCAGCAAGTTGTGCTGCAATGGTCAACGCAATTTTGTTATCATTTTTTTTCTTCTCAATATACATAAGAAAGACAACCATTGCAGAGGCAACTACATCAACCAAAAACACATCGTTTTTAAGCCTTTCGTCTTCCATTTTCTTTGTCATCTTCTCTGCATCGTTTTCATCAAGGTCGAATTTTTTCAATCTATCGCCACGTGGCACCAACCTTTGGAACAAAGTTTTTGTCTGATTATTTTGCTTCACAACTTCATTAAACACTGCATTTCCATCGGTGGATAAATTCAGCAAATACTTTGCCCAATCTACACGGTAATTATCTCGAGGAGTTTCTAATTTGGAAGGAGGCGCAATGGATAAAACAGAAGTTATTTCCACGTGTTCACCATTTTCCCCAAATATTTCTTTTGCTCGTGGAATTGCTTGTGCTAAAGGACAATTACCACCAATACCTCCGTCGACATATTTATGACTGCCAATTTCGGTTAAGTTATCAAAGTATATTGGGGCACTTGAAGATGCAAGCAAGACCTTGTAAGCCTGGTAACACGCGTAGTCTTTGCTAAATGTATCAAACATTACGAGATTTTGGTTGTTGCCAAGTTCTTTAGTAACAGCTCCGGCCACGGTTTTCGAAGAATCTTTGCCGCCAAATTCATATAAGCAGCAATCACCAAACTTATTCTTTAGAGCTTTCTCTACTTTAGCTAGTTTATATGGCGGTATTGGAAAGCCAAATATTTTTGTACGCCAAGGGAAGATTTCCCTAGTTTTATCCTTATACATGTTAATGCATTCTTCCAAAGTCATCCGTTCTCTTACATGATGGTTGTTTTCAACTTTATTTCCACCAACTAAAGCAAATGCAATCAAACTTCCTGTACTAGTACCAACTATCATATCGTAAACATCTGTGG